ATATATATATATGTGTGTGTGTGTATATATATATATATATGTGTGTGTGTGTGTGTTTGTGTGTATATATATATGTGTGTGTGTGTGTATGTGGTGTGTATTTATGTTTATATGTGTATATATATATAAAAACACAAAATCACAAAGCAAATACCCCATTAGTCTTTACATGTCAAAGAAAAAAAACTACTTTTTTGTTTGCAAGCTTAAATCTTTAACATGGTGAATAAGTGAAAAAGGCACAATATGAAAATTAAGCTCACATTGTTTTCTGTTGTTTCTGCCATCAGGGTAGGAAGGACTACATGGGTTTGGCCATTAAGAATGACAACCTAGTGTTTGTGTACAACCTTGGAAGTGAAGACGTTGAGATCCCTCTGACGTCCAAGCCTGTCAGCCAGTGGCCTGCAGTCTTTAATCACATCAGAATAGAAAGGTTTGTTTCTTTCTTTAACAAAACACTAAAAATTAACTAGAGAATTTGCATTTCCTTCGAAAATGCACGTGTGAATGCCATTTAAGGCCCTCCCAGCAAAGCACCGCTCCGGCCATGCTGCGACCGCAGGAGCTTCAGGCCATCCACCCTGTCGCCATCGGGAACGCTGTCATGCCAGTCCCCCACACGTTCACTACGATGCACATTTCCTGAATGTTTGACATCGCCTTTCGTCCATTTCAGTACTAGTACAGCTCCAGTTCTTACAAGTATACGTGAAATCCGACTTTCCAGATAGAAGTTATTGTGACTTCCTGTTTTGTTGCGAACATTTAACAAGCACTTCATATATGCTTTTCCACACGTCGTGTCGTCATCAACAGTTACAGTTTCCTTTTTATAAATTACACAGGGTCAAGCTGGAAAAGTCACTCAATAACTGATAGTTCATTCTGTGAGTGGGTGGGCCTTAAGTAATGTCGTGAATCAACAATACCAAAGTGTCTGTAGGTGTTCTCTGATCAAGCACAAAAAATTCCGTTCAGATCGGATGATGTATCACTGAGATATAACTACTGGAATATTGTAGGGGGCACACTCGAGTCAAATGTTAAACGAAAACAAAAAAGTCTGTAGAATGTGTGTACAAGTGCTCACACATCATGCACAAAAAATCTGGTGCATATCAGATGATATGTCACTGAGATATAACTGTTTGAATAATCTAGGGGGCGCACTTGAGTCAAAAGTTAAACAACAATACAAAAGCGTCTATAATTGCTCACTGATCAAGCACAAAAAATCTGGTGCAGATCGGATAATGTATGGCTGAGATATAAATGTAAGTATAACATAGGGGGCGCTATAGAAGCTATTGGCCACTTATCATGGAAGCCTGTTCAAGGGGTGGATAATGATTGATCATACTGATTTTGGTGCACATCGGCTCAAATCTGTGGAATTTAGAGCCAAACGTATTGCGACGGCGTTACGTTTTACTTCGCCACGCCACGCCGCCCACATGCTCCACCCAGAACTGTCAGTGTTGTAAAGCAAGTTACACCAACATGTTCGGTCACTGTCCACACTATCATGCTGATTAGATCACAGGGGTCAGCTTGGGGCGTTCAACGTAAAATTTTACACTTCCTGTTGTCAGGGGCGTGGCTTAAGTGATGTCATTATTTGACCATTCAGTCTTGCAGGGGACAGAATATGGATCAATCACTGAAGGTTTCATGTCTCAGACAGTTTTCGTGTAGGAGTTATTAGCTTTTCGTTTTTCATCGCGCAATGTCAAAAGTTGAGGTCTGGCCCCGCCCCTTCAGCATGCTCAGAAATGCACTGTTTAGATAAGTTTTCGTCCCCCATGTGTCTTTACCAAAATGACTAAGTTTGAAAAGGATTGAAGGAAAAATGTGCTGCCTCTAAACTGCCAAATAAGTGTGAAAATTTGATCAGGATTCCAAAATGGCCACCTTTTCTGTTTATCGTATAACATTGGTGCCAGAGGTTTTTTTTGTACATCTTGTGGAATTGGGGAAGTGTACCAAATTTTGTTTTTCTACGATCAACTAAGGTTAATGTAGGGTATATTGAAAAGTGGTAGGTGGCGCTAGTGGGCGCTGTGGAGGCTATTGGCAATTTATCACGGATGCCTGTTCAAGGGGTGGATAATGATCGATCATACTGATTTTGAGGCACCTCGGCTCAAATCTGTGGATTTTAGAGCCAAACGTATTGCGACGGCGTTACGTTTTACTTCGCCACGCCACGCCGCCCACATGCTGCACCCAAAACTGTCAGTGTTAGAAAGCAAGTTACACCAACAAGTCTTCGGTCACTGGACACACTGTCATGCTGATTAGATCACAGGTGTCAGTTTGGGATGTTAAATGTAAAACTTTGCACTTCCTGTTGTTAGGGGTTGTGGCTTAAGTGATGTCATGATTTGACCATTTAGTCTTGCAGGGGACCTGATGTGGATCAATCACTGCAGGTTTGATGTTTCAGACAGTTTTCATTTATGAACTATTAGCATTTCATTTTTCATGGCGAGAGGTCAAACTTTCAGGTCTGGCCCCGCCCCTTCAGCATGCTCCATCTTGGACATTTGGACAAGTGTACCAAGTGTCATGCTTCTAGGCCAAAGTAAGGGTAATGCGTAGTGTATTTTGCAAACTGCCAGATGGCGCTCTTGGTCTGTTTATAGAGAGCTCCATTCATTTTCAATGACAGCCAAAATGGCAGAAAAGGCTAAATATCTCCAAAAGCTAAAGTTGCATCAATAAAGAAAGTCATAGCCATATTGTCCTGAAATAGCTGAACGGTTTGATATATGATATGTTCATATAGCACTAATCCTGTGTGAGTAGTGAGCTTCCAAAAACTGTACGGAATCATAAAAACAAATAGAAAAAAATAATAAATATAAACAGAAAAGCAATAGTGTGAATGCCTTGATGGCATTCACACAACTAGAATGCCTCTTTATGTGTAATAGAGGGATTCGGTACATATGTCCTGAAGCACTTAGGGCAGCTGTGGCTGAGTGGTTAGAGTAGTCGTCCTCCAATGCAAAAGTTGGTGGTTCGAATCCACCAGCAGTCACATGCCGAAGTGTTCCTGGGCAAGACACTGAACCCCCATCGGTGTATGAATGTGATAAAGCACTGATTAGTCTCTTTAGAATGATTTGTTCAATTAGCTTTGTAGAGATCTAGTAGAGTGCTGTATGAATGGGTAAATGAGGACACAGATTGTAGTGTAAAGTGCTTTGAGTATCTCAATAAGATAGAAAGGTGCTATACAAGTACAGTCCATTTACCATTTACTTGCCAAGACCATGCAAGGAGCATCCAGAGTCAGTTTCTTTATTTGTCATTTGCACCACATGTGGTGGAACAAAACTGTGTACGCAGGGTCCCAGTTACATCCAACAATAAAATGTTAAAGAAAAACAGTAATAAGATCTAAGATATGAACTAACAAAAACATTAACTAAAAATACAGAAAGCATTAATAGCATAAAAACAATACGGATCATTCACATCATCATTCAGGATTATCATTATCACTCAGGATTAATATGATAATTCAAGATTATTATTATCATTCAGGATTATCATCATCAATCTGGATTATTATTATCATTATCTTTCAGGATTATCATTACCATTCAGGATTATTATCATTCACGATTATCACTATAAATCAGGATTATAATTATCATTCAGGATTATCACCATCATTCAGGATTATCATCATCAGGACAATTATTATAATTCAAGATTATTATTTCCATTCAGGATTATTATAATTCAGGTTTATCATTAAAAATAAGGATTATCATTATCATTCATGATTATCATTACCATTCAGGATTATAATTATCATTCATGAGTATCGTTATCATTCAGGATTATCAGCATCTGGATTATTATTAAAATTCAGGATTGTCATTTCCATTCAAGATTATTAGAATTCAGGTTTATCATTATTTTTAAGGATTATCATTACCATTCAGGATTATAATTATCATTCAGGATTATCATTATTGTTAAGGATTATCGTTATTGTTAAGGATTATCATTACCATTCAGGATTATAATCACCAGTCAGGATTATCATAACCGTTAAGGATTATCATTAGCATTCAGGATTATCATTAGCGTTCGGGGTTATCATTATTATCCAGGGTTATCATTAAAAAAACACTACATCACTTCTTTATGAACAGGGGCTTTGTTGCCTATGATATCTTGTGGTTATTTCCTAACAGGCTGGGCCGACATGGGAAAGTTCTCCTGACCATCCCCAGCCAGGGCTCCACAGATGAGCAGAAGTTTATCCACAAAGGTGAAGCTCCAGGAACTAACTCCCTGTTTGACATTGACCCCAAAACTTTTGTGTTCTTTGTTGGGGGTGTCCCAGCTGATGTCAAGGTAAAGATTGAAAAAATACCTTTTAGTAAATCTTTGTGCTTTCTTGATTTTTTGATAAACATGTTTCTGTTTCCAAACCAGCTGCCGCCACCTCTGAGTCTTGCTCCTTTTGTGGGCTGCATTGAGCTGTCTTCCCTGAACAATGGGATTATCAGTCTGTACAACTTCAAAGAGACTCACAACATGAATGTTGATACGTCTGTGCCATGTGCCAGGTACCAATTTACATAGTTATTTTGAACTGGTATAAAAAAAATCTTAATTTTCTCCCTCTTCAACAGCATATTTTTCATAAATGTTGTAAAATTGTCTTGAGTACCTAATCCCACTTCTTGCTCTGTTTTCAGGTACAAATTGGCGTTCTCAGAGAGTCGCATTGCAAGCTACCTGTTTGATGGACGGGGCTATGCTCTCATCAATAATATGGAGAGGAGAGCAAAGTTTGGTGTTGTCACAAGATTTGATATTGCAGTGCGAACAGTAATGAAGAACGGTATCATTTTCCTCATGGTCAACGGGGTACGTCTAATACTAATCTGAGAGGATTGTGTTTCCCTCTAGCAAATGAGTAATGTTGCAAAATTAATTTAGATAAAGATAACAAACATAATTTGTGGAACATTTTTAAGACAAATAAGGAAACCTTGGATGAACATCATCTGTTATAATTTATGAATTTAAGAGAAGTGACAGTTTTATGTTTGTGGGGGTTGCTCTGTTGTAATTTTGAAGCCACAGCCAGCACACTGATAAGTAATAAATCTTTTAACATTTTTATTTTCAGGATCAGTTTTTCCTGTTGGAAATAAAGAATGGCTTCCTGCACCTGATATATGACTTTGGCTTCAGCAATGGGCCAAAGCGTTTTGAAGATAACGTACCAAAACGTCAAATAAATGATGCAAGATACCATGAGGTAAATTACCTTCTATATCTTTACAGTAGTTGTCTTAAAGATTCAGGTGACCCTTCACTTGTGCTGTTCTGAACTCTCACAGGTGACAGTGATCTACCATCAGTCTAAGAAGGTGATCTTACTGGTGGACAAGAGTCATGTTAAAACAATTGATAACCCTAAAACCACACTGCCCTTCTCAGACATCTATATAGGCGGGGCTCCCTCCAGCCTATGCAAAGTCAGGTAAGTTAAAAATGTTTGAAATGGCAGAAAATTCAAAAACAAGTACAGGGTGCATGGTGGTACATTTGGTTAGCACTTTTCCATTGCAATAAGATGACTCCAGATACAAAACCTATCTGGGGTCTTTCTGCACGAGTTTGCATATCTCCATGTGCATGTATGAGGTTTCTCCAGCTAATCTGTTTCTTCTCATAGTCCACAAACATGCAAGTTAGGTTAATTGAAAACACTAAATGGATGTGTGTGTTTGTATGTATTGTTGTGTCTAATTGGGTGGACTGGTGAGTAGTGTTATGACCTGTCGGCTCAAATGGATGCAACATAATAAGAACCAAACAACGGACTATGTGAAGTTCAAATATAGGTTTTATTGCACTAAAGCAAAGCCAGTGAGGTAAACAACCTACTGAAAGAAAGAGGAGAGGAGGCAGAGGAACAGCCTACCCTTCCCTTTGGGAGGACAGGGTACTGGCTCTCTCCTACCGAAGGGAAGGGTGTGGTCCTTAAGTAGGCTGCTTACTCCTGCAGATGGTTGAATTAGTTGCAGATGAAGCTTCTGTTGGATGAAAATATCCTCTATTTATCTTACTTACTGAAAGAAGTCACACTGGATGACAGGAGAAGATTTTTAACCGGTTTTATTTGCAAGGACAGATTTTCAGAACAGGTTACACAGATGTACACAGGTATACAAATGAAGCCCAGTCATGAGAATCTGCCACGGGAAGTGTGTGAGGCTTGTTTCTATATGCTGTAGTTAACTCGGCCTCCGACCAAAACCTGCCTCTGACGACCTTCATGGGACAGGAACTATTTCATTGATTTGAATCCAGAAATACAAATTAGCTCATCCAGAGACTGTCTAATTGTATCCTGAAGTAATCAATTGAAAGAACACTCTTCTTTTTATATTATCATTACTATTTTACAATATCTTGATAAATCAAAAAGTGTTTAGTTCATATCATTTCTAAATGTTGAACCACTCATTTTAAATCAACTGTGAAACAGTATTAATGATTATTGTTTTTAATCCTCATTTAAATTAGAAATTAAGTTAAATGTCTATTTACAAAGTAATTATGCATTTTGATCTTCTGTCTGAATGAGAAGTAGTGATGTCGGTCGAAAGTTAGAGACAGTCAGAAAGAAGTTTTTAGAACAGGCTGTATTGTTTTTAAACCTAGCAGACCGTAAAAAGAAAAACATTGGCACCTGCAAAGTTTCTCACTTCCTCAAAACATTTCCTTGTCTGTACTAAAAGTTCCTAAACATTCTTGCACTTTCTTGACTTGTAATAACCCTCTGACATCACTAGAACCACCCCCTGTTGGTTGTTTCAACCAATCAGGAAGTCCTGAAGTGACTTGAAGTGAGAACTCTTTAAAAGTCCACACTTCCTGGAACTTCTAGTCTTCGGTCCTCAGTCTCCTGAGCCTCCTGAGTCTCTCAGTCTTCAAGTCAGTCTTCAAGTCAGTCTTCTGAGTCTTTGATGGATTCTTCCACATCTGAGTGGAAACTCTGTCGGATTGACAGCTTGCTGTGTATCCACCCGGGAGATGAGCGTGTTTGTTGAATGGAGTAAACGACACGACTCCTGACGATGGCCAGCCGCTCTTACCGGAGACGTTGGAAGGTAGCGTTGAAATGGACCCGACACCGGAGCTGATTAATTTCTGCAAAGGTAGCGAGTCGTGACACGCCAAGTGTAAAGGAGTTTTGAGCTAGGGTTGAAGGGAGCGTGCCATTCTGCTGTCTGAACAGACACCCCCCTTTACCCATCTTTCTCTTCATTCCTTCCTTTAAAACTCTTCTATTTTGCCAGTAATCTTAATGCCTTCAGAAATGTCTCGTTGTCTTATTAAGTAAAATGTGCCAAGTTTTATTAATCAGAACCAGATCAGCTAATCACTTGTACATGTTTGATGTTAAATTTTGATTCTTTTCAATAAATGACCACATTTATTCTGATGGGTCAAAGGAAATTGATGTCTCATGTCACTGATTTAAACACAATCCTCACAGTACCTCGTCACATGGCCTTAATTTAAATCGAAAAAGAGAGAACCCATTATATTTAAATAATTAGTAGTGCAGGGTGCAGCTAAGCTGGCCCTGACACCACTACAATGCTTATCAGCTCCTCCAAGCTCACTAACCAGCTCCTCATCCAGCTCTGCTAACCCAAACATGTTTCATGGGCAGTTAACATTCTCAGCCACAGTAGTTAAAACATCCATAAAACCTGGAGTAAAATCACCAAATAGCTTCTACCTGAGAAACAAGACAAATAAACTTACTTCCCTAACACCAGGGTGTACCCCTCCTCTGCCTTTTGCCTAATAACCAGTGGAGCTTGGCACCAGCTCTACATGTCCTTGCACAGGATTAAGTGGGTATAAAAAATGAATGAACAGAAAGAAATGCAAAAACAAGTTCAGTGAACATAAAAATGTAACAAACTAACAAGATTAACTCTGGTCCTCTGGACTAATTCTTCAGACTGATTCTCCAGAATCCATCCAGAGGACCTGACTCAACCTTGTTAGTTCTATTTCGTATAGGCTTCGCCCTTTAAGAGCTGTCGCTTAGTGGGTTTATCCCGTCATGTGAAGCATTGCACTGAAAAATTTAGTCCACGCCCACCTGCTGTGTGGGCCCCACCCGATCCGTATAAATTACGTTAAGAGCGGGTAATCGGCTCCCATTTTTCTTCAGCAAGCTAATAGCAAAAACTGTCAGAAGAACAAAGAAGGAAAGGTGTCTAGCTTGGCCAACCTTTAAGACTGCCTGTGGCCCCGCCACGTCAACCTCCTGTCGACCCGGTGAGTTCTCCTCCCTGAGGAGAAGCAGATGAGTAGTCTTGTTTCAAGGTAAGTGCCGAGGGGTATTTCTCAGTGGCAGGTCGCTAAACGCTGGATGACGCCATCTTGTAATTTTCCTTATCGCTCTCTTGGAGCGAATCGGATGGTTCCTCCGGGTCAGGCGACGTCAGCAGCAGCCCCCTGCTGCTCCCTCCCTCCTGGAGAGCGTAGTGTCGGAACGAGGGGGCTTGAGCGAATGCTCACACCCCCTCCCCCCCGGACCCTTTTTTTGCATCGGCAACCACACCGCTCCCAGCC